AAAATATTTCAATTTTTATATGTTACCGGTCCTGAGCACTTGGTTGATCTTCCTTGCAACAGTGGCTCATTTGTGAATAAGCTCATCCTTTTGAGTCTGACTTACTAGAGTGTACTGCAGAACAACAAGTGGGTAACTTGGAGTGGTGTTTAGAAATACACAGTGCATTTGAAACTCATGCACTGACAGTTGTATATTTAATCTGTGTTTCTGGATGGCAGCTAACTGGAATTGAAACTGATAGAGGGATTTTTGTAAGTGGGATTAATGTTCACAGAAACTCTAGAGCTAATACTGCACTATATAAAAGTGAGTCATTAATGGTTAGAGTTTTATAGTTCTGTTCAAAATGCGTTTTTTTTTATGTGTGGTGAAGAATGTATTTGAAATTAGAAACTGGCCAAGGATACATTGAAAAAAGATATAAAATCCTGTCATATTAAATAAAACAAATACAGAAAAAGCTTATGTGGCATTCAGTAAGATATGATTATAAGTAGCTGTATCTGTTACAACCAGACTGGTTTGAAAATTTGGTTTTGCTAAAACAATATTTAAAACCAGATGTGAATGAAAAATATTTCTGTGCATTTTCTTTGGTAATATTTTCTCTTCCATAACTGGTCTCATAGCTGATATCATTGTAGACAGCATTGCGAACATGATGTTAATGTATGAGTAGGTTTGATGTGCCTTATATTTCTTAGTATAACTTTATATAATTTTTTATGTGATAGGGATTTTTTTGGGGAAAAAAAAAGAGCAAATGTCTGTTTTCTCATAAAAGACAAAAGATAAGATTTTTTGTATTACATTTATTATGATATTATGCTTTTGTCTTTCCCCATCCCTAAATTTGCCTTAACACCTCAAAATGTATTTTTTTCCTCCTCTTTTCTGATGTGTTACTATTTAACTGGAATTGGGAACTGGGATTCAGTCTGCTGGCTGCAGGCTGGGTTTGGAGGGTGTGGATGCAGAACTGAGCTCGGAAGGCCAAACAGAATCCAAAACCAGTGTCCATCCCTGTCCTATGCAGTTGTCACAAAGCTGTGACCTGGCCCTACAAAACCTAGACTTGCCTCAGGATGCAGAATAACGCAGGGTGGGTTTAGCACCAGTGGATCAGCGATAGTTTCTCTGGTGGTTTTTACTGGACAGTGGTTTGGACAAGGGTCCAAGCAGGGGAGAAAGGAAAGCATGGAGCAAGGGTTCTTCAGGATTCTGTGAGGAGCTGTGGACTGGGCTGTAGCAGGCTGAGTGTGCTAGGCATTGGGGGCTGAACAATGAACTGGTGGCCCAGGTGGCATTTTTATCTAGGCAAGCATGATCTGCTTTCTACGGGATATCTCTTATGTGACTGCCTTTCAATGTAAACATTTCAAGCAAAGCAGTGTTCTCATTAAGAAAATATTTGTAGAGAGTAATTCTCGGCAGAGATTGCTGATTGCTTCTCTATTTGTAGTTGATCTTGCTAATAGCTTCAGTCCGTACCGAGAAGACAGATTTGTTGAGAAACGGCTGAGATCGTCTTCAGAAGGTACTGCTGGAGGCAGTCGGCTGATCATAAAACCAAAGGATGGAAATACAGAAGAACTTAACAGCCTACGGAAGCAGAGAGCAAGCTCGTCCTCTTCAAAAATGAACAGCATGGTGAGTTTTATTCCTGTATGTCTAAGTTTTTGTTTTTCTGTGTTTGGTGTAACTACAATAAGAAGTAGCAACTTTACAAGTAATGGTTGGTAATAAGGGGGGGGGGCAGGGGGCGGGGAAAAAAAAGCTGTTCAGGCTTCCAAAATGAGATCCAGGCTCAGCTACAGATATTAAAAGTATTTTTTTCAGCGTGTGACGTTGTGAAAAGGTTTGTATACTTTCTGTGAAGAGATTCTTGTTGTTATGCTTTGCTGATTTGCATGGGAGAAAAATACTGGGAGAGGGAACTGTAGCAAAATTTAGTATGACTATTTCTGAGGTTAAAGACAGTGGGCTACTCTGTGGCAACATTATATTGTTACTGTTAGTTATTTCATGGACTCATGGCTGGTATGAGTGAGATGAGATTCAGACCAGAAGATGAATAGAGGACATTTTCTGTAAGGAGGCTCATTTGAAAGGTCTGAGCGGTCCTTTTTGAAACTGGTGACAAGTTTGAATGCTTTCACTCTGAACACAAGGTAAGGAGGAGAGGAACGGATCTCTTCTGAAAACCATTGAGGGGCCCCGAGGACTGGAAAAGCTACGACAGATCAGGTAGCTGCAGGAGAGTACTTTTGAAACTTCTTCTGGTGGAACAATAGTAGAAGGAACTGACTTACTGACAAATTTGTGCTTTCCTATAGCCAATGAGAATAAACATTTTAAGATGGGTGTAATTTATACTTATGTATGTGCTCTACAGTGAGAGAAACAAAGATGATGCTAAGATTGAACATCTACAACAATGGCATCCACCCTTTAGCTTATGGGAATCACTAAAACAAATTTTATGGTGTGGTGGGTTGAGTCTGACTGGATGTCAGGTGCCCCCCAAGGCTGCTCTGTCACTGCCCTTCTCAATTGGACAGGGGAGAGAAAGTATAATGAAAAACTTTTGGGTTGAGATAAGGACAGGGAGAGGTCATTCAGCAAAACAGGCTCGCCTTGGGGCAATTAGTTTAATTTATTGCCAGTCAAATCAGAGTAGGGTAATGAGAACTAAAACCAAATCTTAAAACATCTTCCCCCACCCTTCCCTTCTTCCCGGGCTCAACTTCACCCCTGAGTTCTATACCTCCTCGCCACCGAGCAGCATAGGGGGACGGGGAATGGGGGTTGTGGTCAGTTCATCACACGTTTCTGCTGCTCATTCCTCCTCAGGGGGAGGATTCCTCAGACTCTTCCCCTGCTCAGCGTGGGGTCCCTCCCATGGGAGACGGTCCTCCATGAACTTCTCCACTGTGAGTCCTTCCCACAGGCTGCAGTTCTTCATGAAGTGCCCCAGCCCTGGAACCCTTCCATGGGGTGCAGTCCTTCAGGAACAGACTGCTCCAGTGTGGGTCCCCCACTGGGTCACAAGTCCTGCCAGGAGCCTGCTCCAGCACAGGCCTCCCAGGGGGTCACAGCCTCATTTGGGTACATCCACTTGCTCCAGCATGGCGTCCTCCACAGGCTATGGGTGGAGATCTGCTCCAGCGTGGAGCTCCTTGGGCTGCAGGGGGACAGCCTGCCTCACTGTGGTCTTCATGTCACAGGCTGCAAGGGAATCTCTGCTCTGGTGCCTGGAGCACCTCCTCCCCCTCTTTCTTATCTGACCTTGCTGCCTGCAGAGTTCTTCCTCTCACATATTCTCACTCCTCTCTCTGGCTGCAATTGCTGTTGTGCCCTTTTTTTCTCCCCTTCTTAAATATGTTATCCCAGAGGTGCTACCACTGTCACTGACCCAGGCTCTGCCTTGGCCAGCGGTGGGTTTGTCTTGGAGCCGGCTGGCACTGGCTCTATCAGACACAGGGGAAACTTCTAGCAGCTTCTCACAGAAGCCACTCCTGCAGCCCCCCACTACCAAAACCTTGCCATGCAAACCCAATACATATGGCCATTGTTAGTTTGAAACATTTTATTCAACATGCTAGCCATGAAACAAGGAGGATTAATTTTGTACCACTATCTGAAAAGAGCTTTCCTTAGAAAGCAAAAAGCTCCAAGTTTCTTACCCCTGCCTAGAGTTGCTAAACAGATGTATAAATAAAGACGCTTTTCCTTTTCAGGTTTACATAATAGTCATTATCTTACAGTGGTGCAGGACCAAACACATCCCTGAGAGACTCAGATGTGAACACAACTGCCTTTTTGTAAGAGAGAATTTTGCATTTTTTTCGGAGATGCGAAACTGGTTGATCTGACTTAGTGTGAAATCCCGAAATTTACAGAAACTGTGGAGGGAAATTGAGATTTGAGGGTTTCAGGGTTTCTCAGGAGGATGTGAAATCTGTCTGAATCTGTCCTGGTAATTCTCACCCATGTGTCTGAATGTAACATCCAAACATTCCTTTGTGGCTGTGGATGGCAGGAGAAAATCACATCACTACCAAGCACATTCTTAATATGTACGGCTCATGCACAACAGATTTTCCAGTGTACTGAAGCCATGGTCACTAAAAACACTCAACTAAAATGGAGTTACTTGATGTCTTTGTACTAGCAAGCATTTCTATAACTCTGTGTAACCTAGGAAGATTGGATTACCTACAATTCAATGATGAGATTATTCTCTTAGCGGTATCAGATTGTGCAGATTTATCAGTATTCACTGATTAATTTTATACTACCTGAGAGAGCAGGAGGCAAATTAATTTTAGGAAGGAGAAGATTATATATATCTGCCTTTTTTGTTTCTAGATTATTGCCAACATGTCAATTAAGTAGTCCAAGTAGTACGGTAATACAAACATTATTTCAACAAAAACCCCTTGACTTCTTAAGATTTCTTTTATCTGGATTATTACACCCAGAAACACAGTATAGAAATAAAGAAGTAGGATTGATAAAGAGTGGAAAAAACCCTTTTGCTATTAAAGCATATAGTTATAGCGTGTTTCTCCAGGAAGTTCAGATCCATGTATCAGAGAGTAACATCTTATTTTTCAAAGCCAGAAAGAACATGATGACATTTAAAGATGTTGTTTCATGTAAATTTTCATGTAAAGCTGGTTAACATTGGCTCAAGCCTTATTTGGGTCGGTAGACCCAACCTATTAGCCTAATAGATCTTTATGTTCATTTAAATACTAGGCTAAACTGATGGCCATAGCAATTCATTCAATTTAAGCCTGTATTAATGATGGGACTGGACAACACTAACAACATGAAGGAGCCAGAAAAACTGAGGGGATGCTAGATTTTCTTAGGAGATGAGAAGCATTAATCAAGATTAGCATCTGAGAAACTGTTCTACCTCCTAAACAACTTGCTTAGCAGAGTCTTCTTGCATGATTGACAGTGCTCTTTTTGAATCATAGAATTTTTGGGTTGAAAGGGACCTTCTGAGGTCATGTACTCCAAGGCGATAGGTGGATCTCCTAAATACCGAGAATATGTATCAAACCTACAAAGATGGTAATTTCCTCCCCCAAGAGTGGCATTAACTCACTTGTGAGATGATGAAAGTAATTTATAATCTGGACAAGAGCAATGCCACTCATAAATGAGATGTAGGGA